TCATGATGATCAGCATATTCAAAACTACAGGTTAGAGCGAAAATCTCAGATACGAAAATTTCGTTTCAGTAGCACTTTAAAGGGCTTGGTGATAATCTAGAGTACTTCAAAAGGACATCAAACAAATTGAACGAGATTTGATGACAGATTACTCACTCGAGTTTCAGTGGAAGACTTCCGAGAATGTGACCTAAATGCATCAGCTGCATTTTGGACGGTATCGACTTTGACTCGTATTTCAGCCATTTTGATCTAAAAAAAAAAAAAAAATAGAAAAGAATAGAGAAAAATAGGAACTTCGTGAGAACTCAAAGTAAAAACAACCTAACTTCCTAGAGGGCGGAAAAGCATGGACGATCAAGTCGTGATTGGTTTTAGTTTGGCATCTGATTGGCTGATGAGTTTTCTGGATCAATCACAGAGTAAAGAAAATTTCTGTACAAAAAAAAAAATTGTGATTACAAGTATGCATAAGCTCATCAAAATACTAAGCAAAAACGCGTGTAAAGCGAAGAAACATGGTACGGAAACGGTGTCAAACGCCGGAAAAGACGTTGACAAGCGTCGTCAGAAGCCAAAAACAAACAGCAGACACTGAGCGCGATATCAAAGGAAAGCAACTATGCCTTGTATCATGACTTTTCATGTTGCGACTTTTTATGTGGAACTTACGTCAAAGTCTTCATCACTCTTTACATCTTCGGGAACTTCTCTGAGTTCGACTTGCTGTTAAAAAAAAAAAAGGAGAATTTTTGGTCGGTCAAAATAATTTGGATAACGGCTGCTGTCCGTTAATTTGAACTCTTCCTCCTCTAATTTAAGCGCCCAAGCCTCGTGGGTCAGTATATCCCTGAAGTTTTTCAACAGAACTGTACAAAGCCGAGACAATACTTTGAGCCACCCAAGGTAGTTGTACATGTCAATTCCTCTCTTCTGCCTTTGATTCCGTGCACTAGAACCAGTCTTCTCAGCTCGCCTAACCTAGTTAGGGTTAAGGGGTGCCAACACTACAATCGGGGGAAGGGTGGGGGGGAATATTACGACGTTTAATTTTTTCCTACCTGACTGAGTTGGTTTTTGCGCTGAAAGTAGGTGCGTATGATGCACGATCCTCGCAGTAGAGAGCGCTACTTATGCAATAGCGAAAATATTGGTAGAGCGCTGCACTAGTATCGCAGAGGTCAGTGGTTCGAATCCCGTACAGGCCTGATTTTTTTCAGGTCTGAATTTCGCTATTGCATAAATAGCGCTCTCTACTGCGAGGATCGTGCATCAGACGTATCTATAACCGCAGTTCAAAATATATGAACTTTCATATGTTCATTGTATCCGAAAGTAGGTGCATTAGAAAACAGAAATCATAACCTTTACTGTAATGATGAGAGATTATTTAAAACGTTGATACCATCTATAACTCACACAGCCTACTTTTTTTTTTAAGGAGAAGTGGTTTGGCTAAACTTTCTAAGTGGAAGGTTTATTCGAGTGTCTTAGATCATTCACCTTTACCGTTATTGCGCCAGCTAGTTTGTCGTTCGATTCTGAAGGCGTGGCTCCTTGAATAGAAGGTTCATCCTCCAAAACAAAAGCATCTTCTTCCTGAGTTATCACAGAGTCTATTTCATCAGAAGGAGAATTTTCACTGAGTGAGTTTTCGTATATGCGACTCGGGACCCCATCGTTTGAGATCTTATCACCATGTTCTTTACTAGGTTCCTCTTCAAAATTAAGATATGCTTGATCTCTTTGAGGAGTTTTATCCAAAAGAAGAACATAATCCTCGGGTGGTTTCTCATATATGTGATTTGTGATCCCGTCTTTAGAGCGCAAAATGTCATCATTGCTGGGTACCATCGAGGATCCTTTTCGCGTATCGTTTGTTACTAAGGAGTCCGGATATGTATTTTGTTCAGCGGTTTCCACAACAGAATCCTTCTGTGTGATTTTCTCTTGAGCACAGGTGATAAGAGGAGAGCCTTCTTTATCTTAAAAGAAAAAAACCAGAGTGACACAGTCTTCAAGTAGTCGAAGAAAAGAGAAAATTTGGGCACGTAGTAGGCACATCTGCATTTGCTCTTAACTGAGCGACTTCTTTGGACAATTTTTTGGAGGGATGACCCTCGCTATCAGATAACAGCTGTTAATGAAAGATCACATACGTAGCTACGAACTTTCCGATCATGATTTTGTTTCTTCGTTTTTAGAAATTATAAAACTGCCCTCACATCTTCTCACCTCTCTGATACGTGAGGACCCAGTGGATTTACAAGTTGGTCTGCCACTCGAATAAGACTCTGATAAATTACACCGTAGAACATGAAACTTACTTTCGTAAAGTGGCAGCTTCTCTTGTAAAAGCATCTCTGGGTTTTCAGGCTCATCGCTAATTCTCGTGTCATTGATCGCGTTTTTGCTGGGTAATGTTGAATCTGACTGGCTCCTGAGATGTTCAACCATTTCATAATCCTTCTGTGCCTTGTTTGACCACTTCTTTTTAGCTGAAGGGAAGATTTTGCTGGTTAGAAATCTAGAGCCGCTTCCTGCCTCTGCACCGACAAAAACGTAGGATTATTGGTAATACATGACGACGACGAAATCGATATTCATCAAAATGTTTTGGAACGATTGTAGCTTGTTATCGATAATCCTTCAATTGATTTATTTGATCCCATTTCACAATCAAAGCCATTATTGCTTATCTGATGCTATTAGTACTGGTGACTCTTGAACAAATTCCGTCCGAGCCTCGGTTTTGGTCTCCTCGGGCGCCTTAGCCTGCAGCACAGGTATCATTTTTCTTTTCGCGAGTTTTTCAAGAGAGCGGAAGCAGGCACGAGGTGAGTGCGAGGCAAACGCAAGGCGAACGCGTGGAGAAAGACACACACGAGAGAAGGGGATCGAGCCCTGTGGGCTCGCCTTGCGCTTGTCTCGCGTTTTCCTTCACGCTCGTCTTGCCTAAAAAAGTAAAATCGCTTCTTCTATAGACTACGGGCGGTTTTCCCTTCAGATTGGGAAAAAGTCCCATATTTCAAGAAATGTTCCCTAGGGATATTCTTGCAACGAAACAAGAGATCACCTACCTTTCGAAGTAATATTTATGGCGTTTTTTGGATTTTGGGCAGGAGAAGGTTTAGTTTTCGGAGTCGTTGACGCGCCTGAGCTGCTTTTGTCTCGTATTCGTTTGATGGCATCCTGTATCTGGTGCGATAGAGAGAAACAAATGTTAAAACTCTAAAGCAAGCCATTTGTCTATGTGGTTAGAGGTGCAAATACGGGGGGTGTATGGGTGTGTCTCAGAAGTATTCTTTTTCAAGATTATGTTCGTTTGATTCCAGGGATTCTAGAACCTTTAAGTTGAAGACCTTTCGATGTACTCGGATCGACTGAGGTGCAATCGAGAACAAATGGAAAGGTATTATTAGATCATAAAGGAAAAAATTGATGCTGATTTCAACAAATTGACATTAATACTGATTGTGCAAAACATGGGATTTTTTCTTTGACGTGAACACTTTTGAGAGGGTCGTATGCATATGCCATTAACCCATCTTTACTCAACAGACTCCAAATCATTCTGCTCTGTAGCTCTAAATTACCTGTTTGTTTAACAAGCAGTGAAATATAAAGATCATCAGTCCCTGGAGAGAATTAAAAATGACAAATACATATTGGAAACCAATTGTAGAAGTGTTGATGCTAAGAAGGCCGAACAACCACGTGACTCCAAGCAAGGGAAGAACGACCGCGGAGGCTTTGACGCCAGCTTTGACCTTCTCAATTTGCGTCTTGTTTTGAATGTGTTGTGTGCCCATCATTTGACGAATCACCAAAATGAACACCACGATATTTACCTGCATAAAAAAAAAACCGAAGAATTGTTTACTTTGAAAATAAATGGTGTTTCAGAAGCTATAATCCGCGTAAAAAATAGTGGACATATTACCACTGAGATGGAATTGTTCTGGGGTAGCAGACCCGTTTTATCCCTAATACCCTTACCTAACCCCTCCTCCCTCGTCTGATTGGGCAAGGAGGATTATCTCTCTGACTTACATTTTATTTTAAGTTTCATTTCGTTGTACTTCCTTAAAAGTGGCAACGTAAAAACTATGTACCAAGTAGTTTTGTCGTGGATCGTACCTAATTAACAAAGCAACAAATATCTATTTAGGACGACAAAGAGTGGCACATAATATGAACTCCGTTGTGTTATGTGAGCCTTGAAAATTTTTTTAAATTTTACCATTTGTTATCGGCGTTAATCGAGAACGGAGAGGTATGGCTGAGGATGGAAGAAAATCAAAATAGATTGAATAAATTTGACCATTAGTTTCATAGACCACAAAAACCACGATGAGACCCTTTCTCTCAAAGCTTTCCCTGAAACTCTTTATCCAAAAATTCAAGATTGATTTTTCTCCATTTTGGATTTCACAGCCGACAAGATGCTGGAAACAAGTTCTCTCCTGTCAGAGCATCCAGTGGAGCGAATCTTTGCACTGATATGAATGAAACAGAACTAAGGAATATCCACTGACCAGGATAACAAGTACTGCTGGCCCAATAAACGCCCAAACGAGTCCACTTTCGACATCTAGCCAGCAAGCCTTTGACGAACCGTACCCAACAGCTTGAGTAGCACCCAGCGATATAGCAACTATAACGGCAGGAAAACCTTGGAAACAAAAATAATTGACTCATTTCAAACGAGAAGTCTTTTCCACTTTGGACGAGTGAGTGGTATACTTTACAGACAAAAGAGGCTAAGGTCTTCATACAGGCTTTGTTCCTCCCCAAGGAACCCTTTTTAGATCATTTTTAGACTACTTCCGTTGACGAAAATCCCCGATAATCTAGAATTGTGCTTACGAGGACATGCGGCTTCAATTTGCTTTTCGGTAAATTATTCTCTGGATATCTGATACTTTGTACTTGAGAATAACTTGAGGGGAATAAAAGTTGGAATAAAGCGCATTTTAGTTGATGTCGTAAAACTAAGACCGCCTAAAGCGCTGGAAAACGAAGGGCTTTAGTTTTGCCGGCTTACTAGTTAAAAATCCAGCGAAAGTTGTCTACAGCTTACTAAGAGGGAAGTAATACAAATTAGAATGAGAAAAAAAGAAAAAATGAGAAGACAGCGAATAAACTTACCCCATCCAAGCAAGTAAAAATACTTGACTTTGTCATCAGCTCCACCTCCGAAGACTTTGACAAGCAGAATATAAAGTAACACTCCTTCACACAACATCCAGCAAAACAAGGTCAACAGGAAATAGTGTAGTAAAGCGGCCATGATGGTGCAGCCCGTCTGAAAAAGAACAGAGAAAAAGATAAGTAGAGGACTCTCTCCAATGCAGATCCATCTTTATGAATAAATACCGAAACTATTTTTAACGTACCTCGTTATTTCTCGCTGAACCCTCTCCTATCACAAGTATGCAACAAATGGCGATAGCCGCGCACAGGTTCAAGAGAACTTTCGCTCTCGGGCTTTTCACTGCTCTCCAGAAAATCACAGTAACGACCATAGTAACAACGACAGCAAGTAAAGAAATGGAACAACCAACGATTGCAACGATTTTCAGTGCTTTCTTATGAGCTTCATTGATCTGGGGAAGAAATATACACACAATAAATGTTAAGGGTGACAACTCTGTGTTGTGATTCCCACGGCCTAATTACACTCTTTAAATTCCCCAAATCAAATGCCTGGTAAAAGTCAATCATCAATTACGACCAGTTCACTTTCGTTAATCACGCTTAAGGACGATGACGTGTATAAACAATGACTTCTGATTGGCTCCTTGTCAAAGCTACTTTGTTCTGATTGGCTGTTGGGTTGAAGTTGGTTCTTGATGTAAGTGTCTCTTTTCTCCTCAACCCTACTGATCGGTCACCCAATTTATAAACACTCTCAGTTACGAAAGAAAGCCCTTTAACCCACGTAAAAATACACGCTATGCAAAACGAGCCTTCTTCTGTATGGATTGGTAACGAGTTTGCACCAAAACGAGGTCGGTCAGCCTTGCACAAGTGTGACTGAAAAAACTGAGCGGCGATGTGATTCACTTTTTTACTCACAGGTGCATCATGAGGATCCATGAGTGAAGCGAAGACGGTCAAATGATTACATTCACATGTTGTAATGTTAATATTGGACTCTTCAGCGACAAGTCTACAACCACTGGTCTGCCATACGCCTCCTCCGCCGGGCCGCCAAAAAACACACTCCCTTTTAGGATCGACTCCTGAGAGAACATTTATCTTAAAAAGAAAGTCAGGAGAAAGGTTAGCGCTAAGATTCCTTTGCAATGGAAAGTTATAACACGTTTTATTACATGCAACAGTGAGAGGGTTAAAAAAAAAAAAGGTTTAGATAGAACCCAACCGCCACAAAAATTATAAATCCTTCATGTTTACCCCTTTGTTCTCAAGAACAATCTTGACCGGCCGCTTGAATACGTTTTGAGGCCTGGGATAGACAGTGGATGATACAATGGTGGTATTAGCGGTGACCGCTTGTTTCTTGTCCTCAGTTTCTTTGTCCAGAGGTAACACATCGTTCAAAGTGAGTAGTACTGAAGTAATGGCGCGGGAGTCTGGGGATGAACTGAATGCCTCGGCTGGTAGATGAATGGAGCTTTTGTTGTAAGCCACCTTCAAGCCTTCGGATCTTAACTAAAAGGAAACATGAAAAGAGACATCAATTACATTTTGCAAAGGTTTCTGTAAATGCCACGCAACTGATGAGTTTTTTCAGCGCACAACTTGAAACACACTGTTGAGAAAGATGACTTCGCGCATTCTTATCATGTCCTTGTCGCTAACCCGCTGATTGGAACACCTTCAAAGTATTAAAATTATTTAGCTGGTCGTGTAAGCATGTCAAAGCTTAGCTGTTTGAATTTTCCGACGTTTTCTCTATAGTTCATTGTGTTAAGTTACCAAAATCGCCCAAATCACTTTATTCCTTCAACGTCATCGTGCCAAGCCATTTGCGGTCAGTAGTCATTGTCACTATGTAATCATTTTCGGTGCGGCTAGCCACATGTACGTTTATCCTTAAATGTTTTCATACCGGGTTGTCTTCTTGTACTCGGTCGATCCTGACCAACAGGTTTGTAGCCTGAACAACTATGGACTTGTTGGATCCAGTGAATGTGGCTGCTACACCCAGACCGTAATCATCAACTGCTTTCACTAAGATTCTACTCCGGCTGTCACCCAACTGAAATTTAACCAATCAGTCACAGAGAAACTCTATTAAACAAGGCTCTGAATGAAAACGAGACTGGAAACTGATTGCAACAAGCACGCTGCTTCTGTAAGATAACTTTCAATAGTGAGGTAGAAAGCCATGACCCCTATAGGGGAAAAGGGGCCACGCTTTCCTATGGCCCCCTTTGATCCACCAACGGCAATTGATTTATTGCAGAAAAGACGAAAACTACGTAAAACACGTGGGGATAAAAGGCGTAAACTGCTAAGAAGCAAAACAACTTGCCTTCTCTTATTTCAAAGTCTTTAAGACTGCTTAAGGGGGATTTGCAAATTAAAATTTGAAATTTCAACCATACGCTAGGGCTAGATGTTCGAAAGAAGACCTTCACTAGTACCGCATTAAAATTTTGATTTGTCTTGGTGTTCGCCTGTGTATTGACACGAGAGCGTATAGAATTTCATATTATTTTACCTTGTCCAAACTTAGGAAATACTGGAGAAAACAAAAAGGTTTTTTGCACAAAGAAACTCTGCAAATATAAAAAACTTGATAATATTGTTTTATTATTGAACAACCGGCTCCAAGCTGTCCGTTCACGAGGCCATCCTGTTAACCCTAAACCCCCAGAAGTGATTAACATGTAACTTCTTCCCAAAAAATCCATATATTGTCCAGCAAACAGGTAATGAGAATACTCAAACGTATCAGATAAATTGGATATATCAACAAAGTTGAAATGGTAAATTGGCCACCGTAATGATTACAAAAGCTGACGTTTCGAGCGTTAGCCCTTCGTCGGAGCGAATAGCTAACGACGATCAAGCGAATAGCTAACGACGATCGAGTAGCTAACGACGAGCGAATAGCTCACGACGATCAAGATAACAAATAAAATTTGTTATCTTGATCTAACACCAAATTCACGTAACTACAAGAAAACGTGAAGCAGCCAGTTGGGAGAATTGGCAATCAGATCTTAGGAGATAAAGGGTTACAGTAAACGTACACAAAAACTTACATTCTCGAGTTCCTGCCAAGTTACACGATTGATCGGTTCTAACAAGTTACTCGCCACCTGAACGAAGCTCTTGACAGCCTTTTCTTCACTCACATTGCCTTGTTCAGCATTATAATCGGCCACTTTGACGAGTACATTCACAGCGATGACCAAGTCTCCGCCAAAGATCTCTGGAGATCTCTGCGTGTTGTTTGCGTTTGACTGAGTAGCATTTACCAGCTCTGAGAGGATTTGTTTTGCGGTAAAATTTGTCTGGAAACCTTCCGTAACAGCTTCGACCTGAAAATAAAGTGGGAAATGGAATGATGGGAGGACGAACAAAGCAATGAGTTTGGGTATGATCCTCGTCTAAAGTCCCTCAATCTATTTATTTAAGGGTTTATACATCTATTATAAGTGATAGGCAAGTTAGAATGAGAAATCAATTCATGAAATTTAATCAGTTCTTACCTCATTACCCAGTCGCAGAAATTCACGAGAACTGCAGTCTACGAAGTTTGCGTTTTCCCACTTTCCGCTCACACCACAAAAACGAGAAACTTTGCCTAGGATGAGTTCAGATTATGAATTACAGTTATGGTAAAGAGTCCACTGAAATCTATGCTTGACGTCCGAGGAGCAGTAGGAGGGGGGACTGGGGGAGAATGGGAACCAACCCTGGTCATACACTCACTATCATACCACGCGGGTGTAGTCTTCGCTTTATCAAGAAAAGAAGACAATCTATGTCATTAAAACAAACTGGTATACCAGCAAATAATGAGAGAGGCAATTAGAGTTGTCCACCCACTAGTAAATCTACTTACTTTACTGCATTGGTCGGGAGCTCTTTAAATCGGGTTAGGTCACGTAGTCTACAGAGTAACGGAAATGCTCAATGTCCAATTATGTGAAATGTTTTGTCCTCATTAGGAGAAAAAGGACATGTGGCTGTTGTACCCAAACCCTCACTATGACTTACCCTTGGCTCCCGGTGGACAAGGCTTGACGTCGATATGTCCTGCGGCTGTGGCTGCCCACAGCACTCCTGCAAGCAGCTCTTCACGACACTGTAAAACTTCTGTGAGGCAAATAAGATTGTTTTAAGTTTTAAAACATCTACGACAAAAACTCAAATTAGCTGAATGACGTGACTTGAATTACAATGAAGCGATCGTGAACAACCTTGAAAATAATCTCGCCTGTTATATGGCCGTACCTTAGACTTTCTACAACGCCTTAACTTTCATTCATACAAGAGAGTTAAATAAGAAATCTTTTCTGTTTGCCATGTTATTACAAGGTGCCAATTTCTTCACTTTCTGAGCTTTTGTTTGCCTTCCGTACGGGTATACGGTTTGAGAAAAGAAATGTGAAGATATCAACGTAAGAAAGAGTTTTCCTTAACTCGTTTAAACTTCTTGTCCGCATTACCCTATATCGATCGTGCTTGCTCGTCAGACCGCAAGAAAAAAAAATCCCCTTCCATGCAGCTCTTAATTTGCTAACCTGGTTTTATGATAATAAGACTAGCCACTTCACTCGTAGCCATCAGAGATCCTTCCTGTGACCGCATCACACAGACAAATTTTCTTGTATAGATCTCCCCTCGGTCAGGGATTTCCAAATTTGTTGCTGTGTAGTTCGTTGGATTATTGAGGAATTCTGATTCTTCTGTTGTCACTTCAACCATGAATACGCTTGCTCCTTGCCTGACGCCTCTGACCACACTACAGGAAAACGATGCTTCACCACCTAATAAATTCATCGTAAAATCGTTGCTCAATACAAGAACTTTTCCTTTCGTCGAGGCCGAATAACAATCTAGACCCAATAGATATGGTCACTTATAATTAAGTTTAGAGCAATTTTCAAAGAAATCTGGGCTGGCTATGCTTTTGTTCGAATACGGTCTGGGATTGGTCGAAGTAAAAACTTCCCGTCAATACCCCAACCAACCACGCGTAAACGCGACAACAACTGGAACCCGGCTACTTAAGTTCCCCCGCGTTTGAAGACGTTTAAAAAAGATTGACCTTCAGCTCTCATTGGCTGCTTGTGATAATGCCAATATCACAAGCTGTTCTGATTGGTTGATGTTACAACTTGGGTTTTCATTTCACAACATCCTATCGAAAAGCCGTACGATACACAACACATGACTATTTCGGTTTTTGTAACATGTGCCTGTGAAAAATCCTAAAGTGAGAATCTTGAGAAATCCATGAAGCACACTGTCAGGAAATAAGCAGTGGGATAATGTTATATGGCTGCTGAATGACTCTGCACTTACCAACGCGCCTGGTAACTATTCGCGGTGATATTCTAAGCACAGGAATAACCTGAATTGCCACGCTTGCTGTACCAATCTGACTTCCTTTACTGTAAAATATATGAAAAAAGGAGGAATTGAGTACAAAAATTCCCCCTCAAACTGCTTCCTGAGTTTTACTATCAGACGGTATGGTCGTCACTCTGGTGATATTAGGGACCTTAAGCAACCATGACGGCGACGGCAACGAAGATGTGGAAAAACAAGAGATCCAATTGGCAGAACAGTAGCTCAGCACGTGCGTTTTGAAACTTTGTACATTTCATAGCCCTCCTATGCAAAACAACAGGGAACTTACGCAACCACGACGGCGACGGCAACGAGGACGTGGAAAAACAAGAGATCTAATTGGCAGAACAATAGCTCAGCACGTACGTTTTGAAACTTTGTACATTTCTTAGCCGTCCTATGCAAAACGACAACGTGAAATCGCCAAAACTTGCGTCGTCTGCGAACCGAAACCGCGACGGCAAATTATTTTAATTTCCATTTGGAACTCAACGCTACTTTTATACGTCATGCTGAAGTTGAGCTGTGGCGCCGTATAAGACAGTAAGCTCCTGCAACCATTTTTGAAATTCTAACTAAGAGTAGAAATTCATTTTTTAATCGAAGTCTTCCTTGGCGTTGCCGTCCTGATTGCGTAAGGTCCCTATTATCTCATATTCAACGCGCGCTCGTGGAATAATTGTTAATTAGACGTTT